TCTTCAGACCTTTTGTAGTAACCAACCAAACCCAAGAAACTTCTAATATTCGAAGATGATAGAGGTATAGGACAACTATTAATTGCATCTGTCATCTTAGGATCTACATCAATACTCTTATTTGAAACAATATGAAGAAGAAATCCATGGACCTTAGGCAAATTTCACATTTTGCTAAACTTCACAAAGATTTGTTGGTCCCTAAGGACTACCAACACAATTCTCAAATGATTGATGTGATCACTCTCACTTCTAGAATAAATGAATATATCATCAATCAATACAATCATAAACATCTAAACACCCTAGTCATCAAATACATAAATATCGTCGGAGCATCATCAAACCATACAATATTATGAAAAACTCATCATGACTATATCAAGTTCAAAAAGTCATCTTCCGAATGTCATCTTCTTTCACCCTCAATTGGAGATCACCCGACCAAAGGTTAATCTTGGAAAAGTAACTCACTCCTTTAAGTTGGTAAAACAAATCATCAATCCTTAGGAAAGGTTACTTATTCTGAATAGTTACATCGTAGATTTCCAGTAGTCTAATACACATATGGATAAAATCATATTCTTTCTAACAAACAAAACTGTAGCATCCCATGGAGCGATAGTCGTTTAGATGAAACCTTTATCCAACAAAATATTTCAATTGCTCTTTCAACTCCTTTATTTGTGTCGGATCCATTCGGTAAGGAGGAATAAAGATAGGTTGCATTGCTGGGAGAAGGTCAATGCCAAAGTCTATTTGTCTTTTGGGAGGAATACCAAGTAAATCATCTAGGAAAACTTCCAAAAACTCATTAACCACGAGGAAAAATTCAAGAGTAGGGGGTTTGGAATCCACATCCCTCACCCTAACTAGATGGCATATGCTACCCTTAGAAATCACCTTTCTAGATTTACAAACTGACCCTTGGTTATAAAATATCCTCTTTCCACTCTAAGACTCGCTCATTTGGAAACTAAAACTTTACTACACGAGTTCTAAAATTAATAGAAGCATAACATACATGCAATCAATCCGTACCAATTACATTAAAATCTAGCATATCAAGCTCTACTAGATCAACAAGTGAAACTCTATGGGACAAGGAGACGTGCACTTTATATAGACCCTCTTATCCACAGTAGAATAACCAATACACGTAGAAAAAAATAGATATAACAACACTTTTAGAAGAATATCAAACTTCCTAGCCACATAATACGTCACAAAATACAAGGTTTCCAGGGTTAATTAAGGCATAAACATCAAGTTGGAACACTTTCAACTTACTGGTAACCACATCAGGAAAATCCTTTTGTTCACTACGAGTCGTAAGTGCATAAAGTCAGTTTTGCTTCTGACTTCCACTAGGAAAAATGAAGGATTAGGTTGAACCCTTCGATGATTATCTCCATTAGTCTCACCAACTGAAGGACAATCTATTATTTTTTCGTCCATCTAACCACCACCAAAATAAAATTTGAACCTGCTAGACACTTGCCCTCATGCTTTATCCACACTTAGAAAAAGTAGGCAATCAAACTCAACTACCCTTTCCTCCTTGCTGCTTAGGGTTAGACACCCTATCTTTGTTGAATTTAGAAGGAGCATTGGAGGAACCTTAGTGGAATTTTTTTTTCAAAACTTAGAACGAATATGTCGATCAGACCTTAAATGTGAGAAATTACCATCAATGATCTTAGCTCTCTTTGTCTCCCTAGACCTTTCCTTAAGTTTCTCCTCTTCAATTTGTTGACCATGAACCATAAGACGAGAAATTTACATATCATTGACAAGCATAGTACGATATTCCCTAACCACCATTTTGGAGACATCAGAAACAAATTTACTCATCTTTGCCCTGGGATCGACAATCATAGTAGGAGCATATCAAGATAATTGTATGAGCTTCAAAGCATATTCATTCACACTTATACTTCCTTGATGAAGGTTGGTGAACTCAATCACCTTTGCCTCCCTCATTTCAAGAGAATGGACCTATCAAGTAACACAACTTTGAACTCATCCCATCGAGAGGAAACACATCTTCTGATTTTCCTGATCTATCGCTTGAACCATATTTTAAAAAAATGACATCATTTATATGATCATCGACACCTTGTAAACCTCATCAATGAACTCTTGAGGTTATTCCTCTCCTTTAGAACCATAGATATCTGGAGGATTTATTCTAATGAAGTCCTTTACTTTAGATGTTATTGTACCCATATTTGGGTTCATCGGGACTACAACCTCTTTATTTGTTTGTGGAAATACTTAAAAAGAAGCCCTAAACATAACATTAGTCACTTACTTGGTCAAAGAGTCGACTGAAGCTTGAGAAGGTGCTTCATGATTCACCTTGTCTCTCACATTTCTTATAGCATAAGCTCTTTGAATAGCCATCTCTTGTAGAGCATTAGATAAGGATTAGAAGAGAGATCTTATAGACTTAAAATCTATTGAACGACTTTAGATTAATGAAATAAGTGAAGTTTCCTAAACAACTTGTAGCCTTTCATTCATTTATGGGGTGCGCTTCACACTTATAAACAAGAATCTACTCGACGTGGCTTATGATTTTTCCTAGGACGATTAATGCAAGTGAACAACATCTTAAAAACATGTGTCAAATAATTCTTGAAGTATTCTAAGTTCATCTTAGCTTGATTTTTTGAAGTAGACTTAACTGACATGTAAGACCATGTGAGCTAGTAACATGGGATCCAGTGTCCACCCCACATAAAAAATGGGTTTTCCTACTTGCCATGGTAAGGACCATCAACATCTAGCTTATGTGAAACCACTAGCAAATGTCTATCTAGACAATCCTATGGTTGCACATAGTTTATGGGACACGTGTAAGATCCACTTGTCCACTCATTACTAAGCTTAGCTTCCACGGAAAATCTCTTAGTCATATCCATCTTAGCTCTTATAGAAACATAGGTGATCGCTTCTTGTTCTTACATCATGTTACATGGGTAATCACCTTTTGTCTTTCAATAAGAGAGAACGGGTAATTGACACTTGCCTCATCAGTAAAATAAATCCTTATCATTGGCTTATTTTAAATGAGAAGGCCTTTAAACCTTAAGAACCCTTATTATGTGATAAACCTTTCACAACTCATGCTTTCATGTTTATATGAGAAATCCTTTAAACAACACAACAATAACAACAAATTTGATACTTTACTCTCAAAGTATCCTTAAAATATTTACATCGATTTCATAAGAACATGCATAATTCCATAATTCACCTTTTATGGTTCAAAACCCATTTTCAATCATCAATATCTAGAAAACATGGGTTAGGCATATATTTTTAAGAATTCATCATAAAATCATGTAATTATGTCAATTGATGCTTGATAGATCAAATTAAATAATTCAATAATTAAAAGGAACCATGGCATGGAAGAAAATCTAACTCAATTGGGGAATTCTAATTTTGTAAATTGGAGAATTTCAGTATTCTTTGGAGGATAGGGCTCCATGGATGAAAACTAGCATACCTCAATGCCAAAATCTTGACTTCAGTGGAGAATTGTTTGGCTTGCAAACCACAACTTTTTTCAACTTCAAGAGAGAGAAATATTAAAGAGTTCTTTTATGAATTTGAGAGAACGATTTTAGATAGGGACATTTGGAGCGTTAAAATGCTTATATCGGAGTTTTGGTGAAAGGTAAAATTAGATAGTATTAGGCTAAAATAATTATAGGAAAATACCTAAAAGCCCCTAAACAATCAACTGTCGTCACCAATGATGGCCAGACTGATAGCCCGTTAGTTAAATCACTGATTGTCCTATTCGGGCGACATTTGGATCTAAGGCTATGATTTGAGGCTTTGATCGACGAACTTCATCTATGGACCGTGGGTTCAACTATGGCCTGCTAATTTTGGTCTTGTATATGACTTTTTATCCTTAATTTTCTCTAAGTATGTAACTCACCTACGACTCATAAATCAGATGAGAGACTATCTTGGTGATTCATTGAAAAAAGTATTGCAACTTGATAATTTTGAGAAAACTGACTGGCTAACCACGTACATTGTCTACGTTCCGTGGGTCATTCCACGTGATGGTATTGTAGGAACTTGCACCATATTTCTTAAAAACTATATTTTTCTGCCTTTTCGAATCCGAGGTGTTATAACTACAACCTGCATAAAAATCAACAAACCTAACAATTTTACAATGCACAATTCACAAGGCTTAACCATATAGTTATATAGTCATAAATTCAACAACCAACATTTATTAAATATGCCAATTCACAAGTAACAAGTAGATCAATCACAAAAAACAAGTAATTTAGTCACATGTATCAAAGGCATTAACTCACATTAATGAAAACTCTTGCCGGAACCATTTCCCTTTGTCTTTTATCATATCACTAGCCAAAACCATTTCCCTTAGGCTTTATATCATATCAATTTCCGAAACCAGTTTCTTTTGGATCTATATAAATTTATTAGCCGGAACCACTGACCTCCAACTTTATATCACATCACTAGCTAAAACTTTAACTTTGACTTTCAAATCACTAGACAAAATAATTTCCCTTCGGCTTTATATCAAATCAGTAGTCGTAACCATTTCCATTCTGCTTTATATCAAATCACTAGACAAAACTATTTCCCTTTAGGTTTATATCAATTCACTAACTGCAACCATTTCCATTCGGCTTTATATCACATGTATCATCACGATGTTCAATACTAAATACAAATAATCATTTTCACACGATAAGGAATAGATTACAATTCAAGCAATTCAAATCCACATTCATGCTTCAAAAACATCTAATCAATCAATCACACAAGGGCCAGAACAAAGCAATTCACAAAGTAGTGTGATCAATATATATCTGTCACGACCTGAGAGCACCCCCTAGTCGTAACATGCGTAGTTGACCCCTCAGAGGTCTCATACAAGACATATGGATCATTCATTGCATACCATACTTAAAAATGTGTAAGAATTAAAAAAATTTTCACACATGAAGAATACTTTCATTACTAAGCAAACGGAAGACTTTAAAACATATAACTTAACAATATGTATCATAAAACCATCTAATAACTTTTGGAGTACAACATTTGGGACTACGCCCATGCAAGACTTAAAAATAATGACTAAAAGACCATAAAATAAGATGTGGGTCTGTCCTTGAATCTAGGAGGACTCACCGTACTTCATCTTCAACCATTAGAAACCTATCTATTATCCATAGCATATCAAACCTCCAATTCCTACACTTTATTCAAAAAGGGAAAATAAGGGGTTAGCACAATTAAGAACTAAGTATGGAAGCCATGCAAAAAGGGATATTTAGTATAAAAACATGCTTTTATGACATTTTGATGAAAACTTTCATCATAAGAGTTTTAAGAGTCACAATGCAAGTCAACATTCACATGTAAGACATATTCAACTAGCATCAACATATAGAACTTAATTCCATATTCAACAAGTAAACAAGTTTATCATATTAGATTCTCCACCTAAGGTTATCATAAGACCCACAAAAGTGATACATCAAGTGTCCGCCCATACAACCTCTTCAATACAAACCTAAGTGTTCCTCGAGACTACCAAAGATAGAGACTTTTCCTTTTCAACATATTAACACCAAGTGAACATTATTCATTTAAGCTATTTAAGAGATAACTAAACAAATATGGGACTTCATATAATGGTCTTAGAAGACCTAGAGAACTCGCTTTAGCATCTTCAAGGACTACTTGTGCCATGTGTATATAACATCCCATACAAATAGATACACGTCATAGAACCTATCCAATAACTAGAATTCACATACCACATGATGAGAATAGACGTTAACCAACATAGACCATACAATCTAGGTATGAAATCCGGTGTCATAAGACCCCACACTTGGAAGGTGTTCTATTTTTCAAGGGTAGAACTAGGACGTATCCCATATAGGCACATGGTTTAGGGGATATCGAAATGTTTGTTTCTACTCTAGTCTAATACTCAACTAGAGCTATATCTTTGAGCATATCCACTAAGTGCTTTGCCTTAGTTACCATAGAGCAAGTTTATTCACATAAGCGTATTAACAAAGGTACCATCACTAAGCTTACCAACTCATAACACAAATTCCAAAAAGGGAACAGAAGGATCTAACGATCAAGGTTATAAGATAGCTCATTCATGAAACGAGCACCATCCTAGGTCTATCCGATTCAAGATTCATTATTAAACTTCTTTTCATACTCAAGGTTTCATATTCACTTAGGGTTGTAGACTCATTAATAATGGGCACCATTATTAGGTCTACCAGTTCAAGGCATATACCCTAGAATAACTCATTTATCATTCATAAAAGGGAACCAACTTTAGGTCTACCGATCCTAGATTTCATTCATTTATTAATTCATTCATTATCAAGAAAGGATGCCTAAACCTACCAAGTCAACAGATCACTTTCAACATAACTTTCATGCATCAAGGAAAAGTCACCTAAGTCTACAAAGTCAAAGAGTTCATAATCACGAAGCTTTCATGTATCAAGAAGAGGCACCTAATTCTACCAAATCAAGACACAACATTATCATATAAGACTCTTCATAGTCTATCATCATCACACATGAACATGTAGAGGAAATACACTCTTTATCACATTATAACCAAATTATACAAGACCACATTCACATTACAATCACGTTATACAAGATTACATGTATATCACATAATACCTTCACCTTATACTTACCTATATGCCATAACACATTGCGCAAGGTCACATTTGACTTCATATGATGAACTTCAAATTATACCTTCATATATGCACTAACATAATATTAATACAATTCACATAATAATGCTGACAAGGCCATGATCACAATAAGAACAAGAAGTAAACACCGCCACCATAAATGGATCATACCACCTAAGAGCAATTTTATATCAATTCCACATTAGCAAGGGAATTAGGTCAACTTACCCTCTTCCAATATATATAATCATCATTCCTTAATACTCCATGAATTAACAATACAATAACATAGATAACCATACAAATCGGCAATACAACATAAATTAAACCCAATTCTATCAATATTAGATCAAGAGTAATCAACCCACTTTATAAGCCAAATTTAAAGATTTTTGAAATAAAGGGTTCATGGATTTTTTCATTCTAAAACATCAAATTAACATCAATAATATCATATCTAATGATTTGAATTTAATTAAAACATGCAAGAACTCTTAAGTTAGAGTGAAAATTAAACTTTTTCATAAACTTAGAAATCCTTATAATCACTTTAAAATTGGCTATAAGGTGGTAGCTTGCCTTAGATAAAGAACTCGCATACCTTATTAGAAGAAACCCCATGATAATTGAACAAGAAAGACATTGAAATCCACAACTCTAGCTCCATCTCGACCTCAAGTTTTCATGGAGTTCTAGAGAGAACTCTTTTAGGAGGGAGGGGTTTCGATTTTAGGAAAAGTGAATAATAAACTAAAATATCAATGAAATGTTTTAATACCCTTTAAATACCTTAAAATATTTAAAACAAATGTACATGCACTAAAAAGAATTGGGGTGAATTTACCACTTCACCCCCAAGTTGATCGAACCACCTACAAATTTGCTGGTCCATTGCACGTCCACCAGACTACGGACCATGGCCTGGTCCACGCCCTGCCATTGGGGTCTATGGTTCTGGTAAGAGGCTGAAAACTTGCACGTCTTGTTCACTCCCAAGACCCGTGAGCCGTTGGTGGATTTACAGTCCATGGGTTGGGTCGTGAATCATGCTGTCCATGAAGCTTGGTGGTTTCTTCTTGGGGTCTTAAAATTTTCAATTAGGATCCTCCTTAAGGACCCTTAGGGTGGTCCTTGTGGAGTCCTACCTTGATGTCTAACCCTTAAACACCTCAACTATTGGTTGGGACTACACCAACCATCAACCAAACTTTAACACACCACACTACAACACATGAACTTAAAGACTAGTTTCCAAACGTCTGTGTCGTCCCTTGATGTTCGACCTCAAAGCTATTCATACTACCCTTAGAAGCTATTTGTTATTAATTTATAAAGTTATTAACTAAAGAGACCTATGTGAAGCTCTAGTGCATCCTACTTCATTTCCAGGGTCTTAATATCTCCTTTTTCAATCCCCTTTTGAAAAGATTTTACCCTCGATGCAACTCAAAACATAGAATATAATTCATTCGCGAGACCTTGGCAGTCTTTAAGATGTTTTATTTTATAATTTAAGATTAATCAAGTGGAAAAATGAACCCTTCCTCAATTTTATTACTCCCAACACACACAAAATGAAAAGAAATATATTAACAAAGTTAAGAGATCACTTGCCTTAGTTCAATCAATGAATTAATCCGAAGCTTGAGTTTTCTCTTTCGGAATTCTATACAATGCCCCATAATCTTTTTTAATAAAGTAACAATAATAAAGCCCCAAAAATAACAACTCCGAATTTAGACATTTGAAATTAATGGGTGATCTAATTATGTATTTGATAGCTAAGATGTTAAGGAATCTATACAACTTTATGGAATTGAATTTTAGCGAGTGTAACTCCCAAAATTCATCTTAGCGTGAATGTGTAGTTTCTTAGGGTCGTTGGTTGAAATATGTTATGAAATAGGAGTTTGGAATTCTTAAATTGACTCATTGGTTCCGTGCAAGCCGTTGTGGTGGACTTATTTCCGTTAGGAGGGGCCGTCTGGCTTGCTGGGATTGCCATAGAGAGACAGTCGCAATTTAAGTAGGAAGTTAAATAAACCTTAAAACTTCTTTTTTCTGCAACTTTTGAACTTGAGAGCTGAGGATTAAACCATGTATTTTCTATAGGTAAGATTTTCACTCCCTAAATCCATTTTTCGATCCGTAAATTGTAATCTGATGGGTAAATATCGATAGAAAGGGTTTTGATCTAGAAATTATGGTGAAGAAAGCCCTAAGCTGGGTATGGGGATCATGTGTATGATCTTGGGTTGATAAAGTTGTTAGTAATTTAAGTAATTAGATATTATTTATTGGTTCCTGTGTTATATTGATCATTTATAGACCAAGAACTAGCGGAACAAATTTTAAAAGGGAAGAATCATGTTTCTTAGTGGACTCAAGCTTTGTCCGAGGTAGGTGATGGTTGTGATTTCATGATTGTATGATATATTTTTGTTCTTGCTTCATTATAGTATGTGCCTATATGCTAATATTGCAATGATCACACATTGTAAATAAGAGAGGTGAATGATGAATACTATGAATTATGACTTAACTGTATAATCTTGAGAATATAATTGTGATTTGATTGTTGCTTCTTGAATGGATTGATTGTTTACATGTTTTGAATAAATAGGGGATCAAGTACCACATTATGGCATAAACATTGGATCGGGTACCGCCGTCCTCTATTCTAATAGTTTGGGTTTGGGTTTCATGAGAGGATAATTGACTTGACATAAATGTGTATCTTGTGAAATGTGAAATTCTAAATGATAAGGGATAATGTATATGATTGGTTTATGCACCTTATTATTATGTTTCCTAGACTAATATATGTTCCACTTAGTGGGATACCGCGTGATCCTACTAGTACAATCTTTATATACTGATACGACACTTGTTCTCTTTCTTTATTGAGTACATGGAATCTTCAGGCGGCTGTTTACAGACCTTGTTTAGGAGAGAAGTGATCGCCGATCGAATCCAAGGGTGAGTCAGTTCTTTCAAGTTGCCATGAGTTCTATTTCTATTTTTTCCACATTTTGGACTTAGACTTTCTAGATAGTTGTGTAACACTCCGAAAGTTCCATGACTTAGTATAGAGCCTCACTTGATGAACTAAGCCTTAAAACAATGTTTCTAAGCTTAAAGAAAGGTAACGAACTTAATTAGTAACAGTTAGAGTCAAAACATCAAGAAACGACCACAACATTCGGTACTCCAGTAACTTAAACTAGTGTAGTGAAAGTGGTGCTAGGATGGTTTCAAAGAGATGTTTAAAGGGTTGTCCATTAGAAGGTGATGGGAGTGGTCATAAGGGCCTAAGAAAGGGTTTATGAAATCAAGGCCAAGGGAGGAGTGCCAACCTTGAGGGACAAGCCAAAGCCAAAGACCAAGGCTTCCCCAAAAAGGGACGCTACTGCCTCAACCTTCACAGCATGACCATGGCTCATGGTATGACCACGGCCAGGTATGGAGCTCATGAAAAAGCCTTGGCTATGGAGGGAAGGTGACATCTTGGACTAGCTACTATCCAAGTGATACGCTCAAACTTACATCTCAAATAAGAAGTAAAGCGGTATCAAGTAAAGAACCCAAAATAATGAGCTTGGGATCGTTCCCACGAGGAAAATAGTTCAGACTTAACTTTATTCTATCATTACTATTATTTAATCAATTATTTCCCTAGAAAACAAAAGACAATAAAAGGGGGGGGGGTTATTTCTAAATTAATGAAAATAATTAACTAAATTAAAGTAAACAACAAACAGATTCAAATCTTGGAGCTTAATAAATTAATAAAAGTAACTAGGGCTTAAGTGTTCCCCACAGGTTTTTAACTTGATAATTCTAACTATAACAATTCTTTCTTAGTATTTTGCATGTAAAGTGATAAGTTATGTATCTCTAAATCCTTGGTCCGGCATCTAGAAAATTTCACTCCGCACCTTGGTTCGGCTACGTGTGTTGCTATACTAACCCTTATTTTTACCTCATATTAAGCATCATATTTCATATTTGACTAAGTTATTACTTCATACCAATCGACACTAGCCTATTAGATAGGGTTAACTAAATCTATGTTGATAATTCTTTTCCTATTATATACCTCCTTGGTCCGGCAAATAGCATTAAGACGAGTTCTAACGTTGGCCATCGGTTAAAAAGACTTCTAAATGAAAGAATTATCAATACATGCAAGACACTATTCTAGAATTGTTATTTTAGTTAGATTTTACCTTATTATTCACTCATGGTTCCCACAACCCTAGTTATGGAGTTTAGTTACCCATGGTCCTAATCACACTATTCATATATTTAATATAAGAATTCATGCACTTACTTTAATGAGAAAAAATAAAATCCAGAAAGTCACTTGATTAACCAATAAAAGCACCAACAATCAATTCCAGAAAAAGTGTAACAATTGTTGAAATTAATCCTTCACTACTTGAACAAGAGAACTAAAGACTATCCTAAAGTCTAATCCCAAAAAATGAGGTTTTTTGAACTATCTATAATGAAAACAAAAACCTAAAAAAAGGAGGATTCTAATTACTTAAAGTTTGTCAAAACGTGTCTGAGTCGACGGACCTCATGACGGACCGTCGTGGTCACGACGGGCCGTCATGGCCTCCGTCGTCCCATATTTTACACATTCTTCTGTTGCTTTCTTCATTACCCTCATCAAACAGGTATGACATACCTTTCCAAGCACGACAGTCCGTCGAGGGTCTCCGTTCCATAATAATTTAACTTCTTCGAATTTGGGTACTGGGACTACTCTCTAATCATTACGACGAACCACCAGAACGAACCGTCGTGGCTATGAAGGTCTGTTATGGACTTCCGTAATTCCACACTAAGTCAGACTTCACCATCTTCCTTCAGCAGCTTCTCTCCTCACTACGATGTCACCTACAGACCGTCATAAGCTCCGTAGGTGGTCTCTTTTGCATTTCTCGCTCAAAAACTTCCACGTTCATCTTTGGAAAGATTTCTTGCAAATAAGGAGAAACTTACATAAAAATTAATACAAAAAGGCTTTTGGACACACACTAATCTTAAGGAAAAAACATTAAAAATACCGTGAAACCACGGTACAATCAACACCCTCAACTTAAATTCGTTGTTTGTCCTCAAGCGACACACTATGACTTACTACAAAATCTTTGTACAAGAGTATCCATATTTTAGCTTTCGCAGTTATTTGGCTATCAATCCCGATCAGTATCATCATGTTTATGCATGTTATCACTATTAGGATTGAATTATGTGGAACCAGACCATGACATAGACTCACCACGCGCTGACACCTATCATCTTCAATTTCTCACCGAGGTGCTAATATTTTTGGTATTGCAACTGGTGTCTTCACTTCAAAATAACATCCTCATTTTTCACACAATGATTTCAGTTTGAGTATAAGGTTTACTTTTCAACACTCACTATTCGAACAAATTCACAACTCATTCATACATATTGCCATAAGCTTGCCCTTATTTTCACTGCTTTAAGTTCACCATACAACTCTTAGGATCACGATAGGACTTTCTTAGATTGTAACATAGGCTCAAGGTCAGGTAGGGTATATTTAGGTATACTTTAGTGACTTGTTGCCTTCCTTAACATAGAGGCTAAAAGTACCACTTTTAATCGTTTTGTTTCGCCCAATTTCTCATATTCTTTCACCTTGTTGTTTTCCCTTCTTTCTTCCTTTGTGTAAGTGACTCTTTTCTTTTCTTGCTTGTAATATATATATATATATATTCAACTGGTTCTTGAGTCACTTTACTATTGTGCTTTCTCTCTCTTATTTCTTTCAACCCCACTTTCCAGAGCATTCCTCATAATAGCCACCCTCAACTCATGGCTTTGCCATGAGCCAAAGTACACAATACCCAAAGTTGGGTCAGAGCCACAAAAAGGTTGCTTACTGCATAAGCCACCTTAACTTTTGCTTTTGGCATAAGCTGAGGTGCACATATCCAAGGAGGGACCAGGTCCAACACATTATTCCAAGAAAAGATCAGTTGGGGTGAAAAAGAAAGGTCTATTTTAAGCTCAAATCATTTGGATCAAAGAGTGATTAATTTCATTCAGTTTTTTTTATTTACGCTAAAAATTGACTATATTGAACAAGGGCCTATGATCCTTTCCTAATTGTCTATTCCAACTTACTTTTAGCATATAATTTTAGCCACCATGATATCTCTTTAACATAACGCTACCGATCCTATAAATTCAAGAACCTCAAAGGTACCAATGCTTTGCTGGCTTAGCTTGCCCTTCTTGCCAAACCTTATCACCTCTTTCTTTGGCGATATCTTAAGAAAAACATTCTCACCAGTCTGAAATGGAAAGTCTCTCACCTATGGTCTGCATACTTCTTTGTCTACTCTAGGATCCTAAAAGCTTTGTTTAAATACTCCTCACTAATCTTGTGTATCCTTGACTAAATCAACCCCCAAAGGTTTCACATCTCCAGCCACGAACAATCAAAGGGTACCATATCAATGGTGGAGTGATAACTATTATACTAGAATAACTTATGAAAAGGTAAGAACTTATCCCAATGCCCTTCAAAATAAACCACACATGCCCTCACATGTTTTCTAGTACTTGAATAGTCCTCTCAGACTGAACGTCGCTCTGTGGATGAAATGGTGTACTAAAAGTGAGTTCTGTGCCCCATTCATCATGCATTTTCCTCCAAAACTTAGAGATAAATTGCGTACTACAATGATATTATAGAAATGTGAACCCCATGCAACCTCACTATCTCCTTCATATACACCTTAGCCAATTGACCACCATTAAATTTGCTTCAAATCTCTGTACATCTTTGTCATGCCCCGATGAATGGAATATCGCAAACCATGACATTCCATCAATAATTTTTGAATCAAGTAATCAACTCGAAGAACATGTATTCTTCGTTTGAAACTGAGCACACCTTCCGCATCAAGAGTGGTCTCTTATGCCTTACCAATCACGGTTTTCTTCTTAAGTTCATCAAATTTTCATTCTCGAATTGCTTGTCCTTGATATCCTCCTTAAATGTACCACTTACTTCAATGCTACCTAATACCCCTCATTTTTCCTGAGATGCCCAATTGCATGGATTTAGACTCTAAGTTTTGAATTTCCTGAGCCAAAGGTCATCTAGTTACACTCAAGGAAGCTAAACTGCCCATACTTACCACTTTTCGACAAAAAGTGTCTACCACTACATTAGCCTTAACCAGATGATATTGATTTGTGTCATTTTAATCATTGAGTAACTCCATCCATCTTTGTTGTCTCAAATTCAGATCCTTTGGTGTGAACACATGCTGCAAACTACGATGATCAGTAAACACTTCACTTCGACACCATAGAGGTAATGCCGCCAGATCTTAAGATCAAACACTTCCGCTGCCAACTCTAAATTATGTGTTGGATAATTCCTCTCATGCATATTCAAATGACGTGAGGGATAAGATATCCTTCCTCAACACAACACCCAAACCAGAATGTGAAGCATCACATTAAACAATAAAATATTTACCTTCTACTGGTAGTGCTAGGATAGGTGTTGTGGTCTACAGAGTTGAGCTTTTGAAAGTTGTCCTCACATTTTTTAGTCCAGTCAAATGGTATCTCCTTTTTGGTAAAATTTTTAAAGTAAGTGTCAATAGAAGAAAAGTTCTTCACAAATCGACTAGTATAGCTAGCGAGCCCCACAAAAAGTTCTAACTTCCTTCATAGAACTATGTCAAACCCAATTCTTAACCGCCTCAATCTTTTGGAAATCTATCATTACCCCATTCTTTTAAACTACATGCCCAAAATTGCAGTCGAAGTCAACAAAAATTCACACTTAGAAAACTTAGGATACAACATTTGTTTCTGAACAACACCTAGAACAATACGAAGATGGTCGACATGCTCTTTCTTACTTCTCGAATAGACAAAAATAGGATCAATAAAGATTATGATGAATGAATCAATGAATGGTTTGAACTCCCCATTCATTAAACTAATGAAGGTTGTAGGCACATTACTCAACCCGACTGACATAACTAGAAACTCATAGTACCCATGTGGGTTCTAAACGCCATCTTGGGCACATCGTTACGCCTAATCTTCAACTGATGGTAACCATACCTTAAATCAATGTTGGAGAAAACTGATGCACCTTGCAATTGGTATAAAAGATCATCTATTCGAGACAAGAAGTACTTGTTTCAAATTAAGAACATATCCAATTATCGATCATCTATACAGTTTCTCATGCTATCATCCTTTTTCTTAACAAAAAAATAGGAGCACCCCATGGGGAAGCATTAGGATGAATAAATCCCTTCTAAAGAAGCTCTTGGAGTTGATGCTTAAGCTTTCTTAATTTCTCTGGGGACATGTGATATGGAGGGATAGAAATAGGATGAGTACCAAGTTCCAAATTTATACAGATATCTATATCTTTATCTCAGGGCATACAAGGAAAATCAGTAGGGGACACTTCTCTAAATTCCAACATCACATAAAAAGACTCAATAGATGGATTTTAACCTCAACTTTCCTAATATGAGCAACATAACCCAAAACAACCCTTCCCTACCAGCTTTCTAGCTCGAAAAAAGGATATGATCTTATCTTGTTTATGCTTGTTCACCCCTTCCCACTCTAATTTTTCCCTTCCCAGAATTTTTAGAGTTACATACTTAGAATTACAATTAAGCACAACATAATAGTGAGGCTACCAAGTCATACCTAAGATTATATCAAAGTGGGTCGTCTCCAAAATCACGAAATCCGCCTAAGTGTGATAACCCATAAACAAAATAGGACAAGCATGATAGATATGAGTGACTATAATAGACTTTCCAACTGGGGTACGAACATTGATTAGGGAATTAAGTATATCACATATCATAGCAAATGTTGCAGCAAATCTCACATACACATAAGAATAAGTAGAACCTGCATCAAATAACACATTAGCCATCCGTTCACAAACAAGAATAGTACATGTTATCATCGCGTGAGATGCCTTTACCTTTTTCTTACTCGGAAAATCGTAACACTATGTCGTATCATTTTGTCATGTTACTTCTCTGCATGGCTGCACTATACCTCTGCCTGCATTTCTATTTCCTATGCCTCCTCGGCCTCAATGATTTCCTCCTCTCCCACTTGTTGACACCCTTTACTATTATTACCAATTTTTGTAGGTACCACTGCTCTAGACGGGTATTGTGCAGACACATGTGGGTGGGGATAATATCTCCTCATATTCCTAGGTTCTCCACAATCATAGTAAGTACGATCAAAAGATGGTCTGTCACCCATCAAATGTGCGACTCCTTGGCTATTCTGAATCAAATAATGAGGTGGAGTTCTATAGTAATCACGTATAGAGGCTGGCATGGAATACTGCATTGGCATGGCTGCAAGTCTTTGCCTCTCCTTCCCTTTGGAGTAAGAATCTTTAAATTTACCCTAGTTTTTGTCCCTTTTAGCCAATGCCTTAGCGTGACTGTCTCGCCTCACCCCCTTCAATTTCTTAGCAAAGTCTTTTAGCTTGTTAAATCTCCTCCCTGCAGAGGTAATTTGAAGAAATAAGAAATGCAACTCAAAATATAGTCACTTGATAAATTTGTCACACTCGGAGAGTGCGTCCCGGATTAGACCGGCGTCGTTAACTTCTCAGAGTTCGTAGACAAGCCTCTTCTTAGCGTTCATCAAAATCATACAGTTAAATTTAGCGGAAAAATTAAATATTTTAACATAATATTGAAGTATACTTAGACTTCATACTATCATTCATAGATCATACGATATTTTAAGAAATTGTCTCACATATATAAAAGCATCTAAAGAGTGAAAATTTGTACTTAGCCAATAATAGTTAATATGCCATATAGGCCTTAATACAAAAGAAACCAAAGAACATAAATGGAATCTAATACTCTTAAATTCTACTAATATCTTTATAAAGCTGGAAAATGGAAGATAGAATCCCCGAACATGATGACCTACCAGGACTTGGAGAAAGAGTTCCAAGCTTTTTCAAATCAACTAGCTTAAACTTCAATGGCCGGAACCTACAGTTTTAGTAATATAAAGTAAATTAGTACGTCACATGTACTAAGTATGGGTATATGCACATAACACATAAGGACTATATGAAAAGGGATCATTTATCATTTCATTAGAAAACATGCTAAGTCATGTGAATGTCTTCAATACACATACCATATATCATATACAAGTTAAGAATTCCAAAAACTTAAATCATTATCATAATCGAATACACAATACCATAGAGTCATATTAACTTTTCACATTCAATGGATCATTTAGCGTAACATACAAAACACTCACCAAAGATCCCATCCCAAACCTACAAGTGCAATGGTTATGTGAAGCCCGATAACCCCACACAACCAAATAGATAAGATAACCATAAGTAATGCTTTGCTTTATATAACTTGTAACATAAGTAGTCTTCACTTCATATAGCAATATAAATCAATAACATGTTCATCATAATAACTAACATCATATACGAGTAACATCATGTACCATAACATATATCTTTCATGTCATCATATTATATAAGAACAATACCCTAAGACTTCTCTTAGAGTCAACTTGTGCAATGTCTAGGTAGAGTCCCACACCCCTACCTATACTATGTAGACTCCTTAAGTCACCCTAGTCGACGTTCACGTACTTGTCTTTCATTTTTACATGAGGAAAAATTCGCCTAAACAGACATAGACCATGTGATCTAACCATGGAATCCAGTGTCTTCCCCACACCGAAAAGAGGTGGTCTACACGCCAAAGTACAATCTACATGACATAGCTTTCTAGGTAGATCCACTAGCTAGTATCCTAGTGTGGAAAAATAGTTCAAGGACTAGGATTTGTATTAGAGACCCATAGTTCCACATCACATGGCCGCCTCAATCTCATGAGAATCATTGTGAACCTACCTTCCACTACGGAAGGGAAACTTCTCATATCTAGTACATCGGTGCTTAGCTTAAGTCCCTTTTATTGAAATAACCTTTAAGTTTTCTTTCATCATAAACTTATAACAGGTAATACGAGGTTAACTCCTTATATTGACATAATCATAATCTCTATAGGGATTAGATGGGAATTTCCTTTCATTGTAACTGTTCACATGTGAGATAAACATAACATAGTCATCTTGTGTAAAGCATAAAAGAGAATATCATAACTTGCATTTTTGTAGTCTTGTCATGATCTGACATTTAATGTTGTTCATATCCCATCATATACACATAAAAACATCATACATACGTTCATAACATAACATCGTGATTCATAGGATAACATAAACATTTTTTACAGTAATCACAACTTTAGAAGACTTACCTCTTGCATCCAAGAACCTTATTCATCTTAAAATATTTATAATCATATTTAGTGAAATACTCAATAACATAATAAAAAAAACTCATCAAGTAATGTACAAGATCAATGCATAGCGTAGGAGAAGGGAAATTGGTCGTTAAAGGGTTCATTCAACTCTTAATCCCAATCCTAATGTTTACACGTTATCAAATACCATAAACAACCCACTCAAAACCATCACATAGAGAAATATCACGTATCACACAACATTCAAACATTATCAATCAAACACTCAGGAATTCATGTGAAATTAACCGTACAAAATGTTTACTTTTCGTTAAAAATCATAAATCTAGGGTTAGGATGAAAATCCTTTTTGTAGAGTAAAAACCCTAGTATTTGAAGTTCTTGAAAACTTATCTTGAAAGGACCTCTTGGGGAAAGGAATCCCAAGAGTGAAAAACCCACACCTTACAGATTGAGAATCCACAAAATTTTTAATGGAAACTTCGAAACCTTTGTCTTCTTCCTTAAGCTTTTTTGTTCTTCAATGGAGTTTTAAAACGAGTGTTCTTGAGAGATTTAGAGATTTTCCGTTTGATCTGATTTGGGACATGCAAAAGTGGTCTAAAACTGACCTAATATCAATATATAGTCGTTCCATAATACCCTCAACTTAATTGGGTATTTAATAAGTTAAATTACCAAAAACTCCCCTCCTAAATTGATTAAAAATAGGAGAACATTTGGCATAGCCAAATTCTGAAAATTTGCTAAGGGTTCGGGAATTAATTAATTAAGTTACTAATTTAATTAATTAAGTGTCTTAGTGTAATTATTAATGTACCCCTAAGTTATTAGGACCATAACCAACCCCTCTGGACCATCCTAACCTATAGGATGTTTCTTTAGTTAGTTACCTGGCTAGTGTCACCCGATTACGTTTTAGGATTTTGGGTACAATAGTTAGTTTATTTTAGTTAATCCTAGGTTAGTTAGTTAGTTAGGTAAGTTACCTAGAGCCTAGGACTGGTTAGGAATCTATTCCCCATGTGACCTTACCCGCACGCGCGCCAGACCCCTAACTTCCCTAACCGAATTCGGTTGGGCTTGGTCGCTTGGTCTCTTGCACATTTGTTGCTGCACATTTCTTGTCCAAGGACCCTCACTATGTCCTTGGGCACTGCTTAATCTACATGATGATTTTAAACGATCTTGTGCTATGGTACCTAGGCTTGACACTTGGATGCCTCATACCTAATGTGTACAACTAAGAATTAATATTTTAGCTTAGGGTCTTCATTGTAGGTACAATTCCTAAACAATCTTGGATTGGAGAATTTGAACATCAAAGTATATCTTAATACATAGAAATTGGATAAACATCAAAGTGTATTTTAAGGTACTTGTTAGTACATACAAATTGGCTAACACCCTTATGCCAGTATTTTCTAACATGCGCAATATTACTCAATCTTGGGCATTGGGATGGCTATGTACCCAATACATATTCTTAAAACCTAATAGACTTTTCGCTAGACAAGTACATTTTCTGGAATGTTACATTATCCCCCCTCCTTAGGAATATTCGTCTTCCTAATGACACTAAAATCTTTTGGAGGGTAGGAGATAAACTCAATACTAGCATCACAACAAACACATAACATATCATCACACTGAGCAGTCAATTCATATGCACAATCATATAAGAGCTACATGTTTATAACAAATAGTGAGGAATTTGCTTGTCAACCTTATCATCAAATCAAAATGCATCAAATAGATACCGTGCTATCATTCTTCTCAAGACAACAACAAAATCTCAAGAAAACATATGCATGCATGTTTCACATAAGTGCAAGAATAGAGTATGAAGGAAATTTCTTAAAACTCTAGTTGGTACTATCATTTACGGACACATGCACCTATTAAGAAAATAAGTCAATTTCATGATTACTCATTAATGTAGTTCTTTGCATTATACATACTACTAGAATTGGAAATTGGGAGAACTAGGGAGATGAACATTCAACAATTTCATTGGGAACAACCCTAGTATCTTTCACAAGTTATTTTTTCTTTTCCTCCACATGAGACACACTACCTATAGTTATTCGACTCAAACCATCCGCAACCACATTGGCTTTGCCGAGGATGGAAAAGGAAACTCATGTCATAATCCTTTAACAATTCTAACCGTCTTCTCCGTCGGAGATTTAACTCCTTTTGTGTGAACACATATTGAAGACTCTTATGGTCAGTAAACACATCAACATGCATACCATACAAGTAATGCCTCCATATTTTTAAACAAAACACTACTGCACCCAACTCAAGATCACGAGTTGGGTAATTCTTCTCACTATAAGGACTGAATCAATAGAAGGAGTTTCACATTCTAGGTACTTAAATCTCACCACATGGTATAAAAACCCTTGTCTGTCATCTTACAAGCCTTCAAACAAGAAATGATTTGACCCCGTGGCATATAATCCCCCTTTCAACTCTAAAATGGGTTCATTAGGGAATTAAAATTTCACTACCCTTGTGGAAGCAAAACAATCGTGAAGCCAATCCATACCCAAGATGATATGAAAACCAAACATATCAAGTTCTACTAAATCAGCAAGAGTAACTCTATTGGGCAGCATTATAGGGCATTTCTTATAGACTTTTTTTGCAACTACGGAGTCACCCATGGGGTACAAACGGAAAAGGGTTCAATCAAAACATCGGGAAATACATCAAATTTCCTAGCTACCAAAGGTGTAACAAAAAAATAGTGTAGAACCTGGATCAAGCAATGCATAGACATTAACATAGAAAACTTGTAACATACCCGTCACAACGTCAGGAGGGATTTCTTGTTCACCCCTAGCCTTGAGTGCATAGAAACAATTCCTTTTTGGAGCTTCACACTAGAACCTATTGGTTGAGCTTGGCTATTACCCTTACCTTGAGTTCTCACATTAGGACAATCTTTCACCATATGTCCACCTTTTCCACAACCATAGCAACTATTAGTCCCAACAAGACATTCACCCGCATGTTTCTTACCACACTTATCATAAGTTAGTCTCTCTTTTGGTTGATAAACATTTCTCCCCTCTTGAGGGTTAGGAATAGAACCTCTATCATTGCGATTCATGGAGAAATTATAAGAAACTTGATTTGAAAACCTCTTCTTAAACTTAGTCTTGTCTTGAACATCAAGCCTACTCTTAGAAGAACTACCTTCAAAAAACTTTGCCTTCTTAGCTTCCCTATTCCTCTTCCTTAGGCGACTTTCCTAAACTTGTTGAGCATGAAATATCAACCTAGAAAGATCCATATTGTCATGAAGATTGGCTGCACAACATTCTTCTTCAAGATCTTCAGACACGCCTGTTACATGGCGGCTCATTTCATACCTAGCATTGGAAACCAAAGAAGAAGCATATTTGGAAAGCTTCATGAGTTTTAAGGAGTATTCCTTAACACTCATACCTCCTTTGAGAAGGTTGATGAACTCCTCTACCTTATCTTCTCTTTATTTCCTTTGAAAGAATCTGTCAAGAAAGGCCTTTTTGAAGATCTCCCAAGTCAAGAGACCACCTCCTAAAGCCCTACTATCTTTCGACTGGTTGTACCATGTCTGAGCCACGTCCTTGAGTTTATAGGCAGCAAGTTCAATCTTTTCCATAGAACTCATACCCATAGAAAACAAAATATTATATACCTCATCAAGGAAATCTTGGGGGTCTTCATCAACTTTCGATCCAAAGTACTTTGGAGGATTTATTCGCGTAAAGTCTCTCAGACAACTTGCTATAGTACTAGCATGTTGCTTCTCTCGAGGAACAACCTCCCTGTTCGCTTGAGCCGTGATGGTTTGATCTTGGGGGTGATGGATTGGGCCATTTGGGACAGGGCAGCCCTCACTTGACCATTCGTCATAGCTGCAGGATTCCTGGAACTTGATCATTTGCAGCAGCTTGCACTTGAGGAGCATTTCGATTGCCTTGGGGAGTCGCTCCTGCATTCCCAATCTACTCTCCTACTCTCCTCGCGGCAGTCCTTCTTGTGTTAATCCCCTATATACACAAGAAAGAGATAAGATACTAAACGACACATAGTGTCAAAACTCTAAAGGCACGACATAGGAGTATCAAGAAAAGAGTTTCCTAATCATCACATAGCCTCACATCATTAATTGTGACGCACTTCACAACCATGAACAAGACACTAGTTAATGTGGTTTAGTGAGACATTTATCCTTAGGATATTTAAACTCATGCTCTGATACCAAGTTTGTCACGCCATGAGAGAACACCCTGAATGAGACCGGCATCGTTAACCTATCAGAGGTCGCAGACAAACGTGTTCTTAGCGTTCATCACAATCATACAATTAAATTTAGCGAAAAAATTAAAAATGTTAACATACTATTGAAGTATACTCAGATTTTATATTATCATTCATAGACTATATGATATTCTAAGAAATTGTCTCACATATATAAAACCATCTAAAGATTGAAATTGTGTACTTAGCCAATAATAGTTTATATGCCTGCCATATAGGCCTTAAAACAAAAGAATTGAAAGAACATAAATTGAAATCTAATACTCTTAAATTCTACTAATGTCTTCATAAATCTAGAAAATTAAAGATAGAATCCCCGAACATGATGAGCTACCAAGACTTGGAGAATGAGTTCCATGCTTCTTCAAATCAACATGCTTAAACTTCAATAGCAGGAACCTAGAGTTGTAGTAATATAAAGTAGTGGGGTTAGTACTCTACATGTACTAAGTATGGGTATATGCACGTAACATATAATGAAATGCATGAAAAAGGATTATTAATCGTTTCATTAGAAAACATGCTAAGTCATGTGAAAGTCCTTAATGCACATAGCATGTATCATATACAAGTTAAGGATTCCAAAAACTTAAATCATTATCATAATCAAAGACACAATACCATAGAGTCATATTTACTTTTCATATTCAATGGATCATATAGCGTAGCATACAAAACACTCACCAATAATCCCATCCCCAACCTACAATTGCAATGGTTATGTGAAGCCCGATAACCCTACACAACCAAATAGATAAGATAGGAGACCATAAGTAAAACTTTGCTTCATAAAACTTGTAAAATAAGTAGTCATCACTTCAAATAGCAATATAAATCAATAACATGTTCATCATAATAACTAACATCATATAAGAGTAACATCATGTATCATAACATATATCTTTCATGTCATCATATTATATAAGAACAATACCCTAGGACTTCTCTTAGAGTCAACTTGTGCAATGTCTAGGTAGAGTCCCACACCCCTACCTATACTATGTAGACTACTCAAGTTACCCTAGTCTATGTTCACGTACTTGTCTTTCATTTTTACATGAGGGAAAATTCTCCTTAACCGACATAGACCATGTGAGATAAACATGGAATCCAGTGTCTTCCCAAACCGAAAAGAGTTGGTCTACCGGCCAAAATAGAACCTACATGACATAACTTTCTAGTTGGATCCACTAGCTAGTATCCTATGGTAACAACATAGTTCAAGAACTAGGAGATGTATTAGAGACCCATAGTTCCACATTACATGGCAGACTCAATCTCATGAGACCTACCTTCCACTAGGGAAGGGATACTTCTCATATCTAGTCCATCGGTGCTTAGCTTAAGTCCCTTTTCTTGAAATAATATTTATATTTTCTTTCATCATAAAATTATTATAGGTAATAGGAGGTTAACTCCCTTTATAAACATCATGATGATCTGTTTAGGGATTAGATAAGGATTTACTTACATCGCAACCCTTCATATGAGAGGTTAACATAACATAGTCATCTTGTGTAAAGCATACAAGAGAATATCATAACTTGCATTTTCATAGTCTTATCATGATATCACTTTTAACGTTGTTCATATCCCAACATATACACATAAAAACATCATACATACTTTCATAACATAACATCATGATTTATAGGCAAACATAAACATTGTAAAGTAATCATAACTTTAGAAGACTTACCTCTTGGTTCCAAGAACCTTATTCATCTTACAATATTCATAATCATATTTAGTGAAATACTCAATAACATTATCAAGAACAACTCATCAAATCATGTACAAGATCAATGCATAGTGTAGGAAAAGGGAAATAGGTCGTTAAAGGGTTCATTCAAGTCTTAATCACAATCCTAATGTTTACACGTTATCAAATACTATAAACAACCCATTGGAAACCATCACTTAGATAAATATCATGTATTACACGACATTCAAACATTATCAATCAAACACTCAGTAGTTTGTGTGAAATTAATCATAGAAAATGTAAACTTTTCGTTAAAAATCATAAATCTAGGGTTAGGAAGAAAATATATTTTGTAGAGTAAAACCCTAGTATTTGAAGTTCTTGAAAACTTATATTGAAAGGACCTCTTCGGGAAAGGAATCGCAAGAGTGCAAAACACATACCTTATAGATAAAGAATCCACGAAAATTTGATTAGAAACTTCAAACCTTCGTCTTCTTCCTTAAGCTTTTCTCATTCTTCAATGGAGTTTTTAGAAGAGTTTAAGTGAGAAACTGAGAGAATTTTCGTTTGACCTGATTTGGGACATGCAAAAGTGGTCTAAAACTGACGTTATATCAATACATAGTCATCACATAAGCCTCCTCTTAATTGGGTCTTTTAGTATGTTAAATTACCAAAAACGCCCCTCCTAAATTGACTAATAATAGGATAGCATTTGACTTAGCAAAATTCTGAAAAATTACTTAGGGTTCGGGTAACATAATTATTTTTATATTAATTAATTAAGTTGATAATTTAATTAATTAAGTCAACTAGGGTAACTACTAATGTACCCTTAAGTCACTAGGACCATAACTAACCCCTTTGGACCATCCTATGTTAGTTACTAGGATGTTTCTTTAGTTAGTTACCTGGCTAGTGTCACCCGGTTAGGTTTTAGGATTTCGGGTACACTAGTTAGATTATTTTAGTTAATACTAGGTTAGTTAGTTATTTAGGTAAGTTAGTTAGACCCTAGGACTTGTTAGGAATCAAGGCCCCATGTGGCTTTACCTGCACGCAGGCCTGCCCTTTAACCTCCCTAATCGAATTCGGTTGGGGTGTTGTCGCTTGGTCTCTTGCACATGTGCTTGCACATGTGTTGCTGCGCATTTCTTGTCCAAGGACCCTCACTATGTCCTTGGGCACGACTTAATCTACATGATGATTATAAATGATCATGTGCTATGCTACCTACGCTTGGCACTTGGATGCCTCATACCTAATGTATACAACTAAGAATTTAATATTTTAGTTTAGGATTTTCATTGCAGGTACAATTCCTAAACAAGCTTGGATTAGAGCATTTGAATATCAAAGTATATCTTAATACATAGAAATTGGCTAAACATCGAAGTGTATTTTAAGTTACTTGTTAATACATGGAAATTGGCTAACACCCTTAAGCAAATATTTTCTAACATGCCCAATATTACCTAATATTGAGCATTGGGATGTTTATGTACCCCAATACATATTCTTAAAATCTAATAGACTCTTCAATAGACAAGTACATTTTCAGGAATGTTAGAAAATTAATGAATCATCTATTCTGTACTAGTAATCGACTGCGTAGCATATCTAGACAAGGCATGAAACTTGGCCTCATAAGCGATAAACATACTACCTCAATAAAAATCCATGAGCTCATCTTTGTTGCGGTCTCTCAAAGTCCTAAGCACATATTTCTCCAAGAACATGACATTAAACTGGGTCCAAGTAAGTAGAGGTAAAAATTAAAATCTTTATTTTGTATAATCTCTCCACCACTACTTAGCCTCACCTTAAAGCTTAAAAGTCACGAATTCAACCCCATGCTGAAGAAAAATTCCCCACTTATGAAGCCTCTCATAGAAATAAAGGATGAAATCATATGCATCCTCACTCTCAAAACCATGGAAGAAAGGTGGTTTCAACTTCAAAACTTGGTCAACATCGCATGTTCATTGCAATTCATAACATGAACCAATAAGTGAAAGAAGAAATTATTATTACGTACATTCTCTCCCACCTCTGGGACAATGATAACAACAGGAGAATTGGCGAGAGCTTGAGTTGCTTGAACAGACAGAAGCACTCCAGGATCAACCAATTCTTTCAAGAATGACATGATCTTTTAAGAGAACACTGGGTCATGTGAGGAATACATGTAGTCTTATACTGCGCCTCTTCCTCTTTTACAACCTCCTCAACATTTTTAACCTCAACATTCTCCTCTATATCTTCATTATTTACGGGAGGGGCCTCATTTTGGTGAGGATTTCTTACTGGTACCCCATCTGTAGTAGGCACCACTCTTCCTAGGCTAACCCTAAATCTTCCTCTACCTGATCTCGACTGCTACCTCTCACTATAGGTTCCTCAATTGGAGCATTTACAAGAGCTACGGGCCTGATGTCATTGAATCTAGTGTTTACGTCATGCAAACAGAAGAGTAAAACACCCACACTAAAGCTCCAATAGGAGAAACATTTATACTAATTTGCTACCCAACATAATCAACATAGTAAAGTATTGGGATAATGCCCATGTACCCCCTCAACCTATGACCGAAATCTCAGAGGCACACTTATACTATACTAAGGTCCTATTACCCCCTGAACTTATTTTATTAATAAGTTTTTACCCCTTTTTAGCTTACGTGGCACTATCTTGTGGGCCCAACGATGGTTGACTTTTTTTTTTGAACTAGTGCCACGTAGGCTAAAAAGGGGTTGAAAATTACATATAAAATAAGTTCAGGGGGGTAATAGGACCTTAGTGTAGTGTAAGTGTCTCTCTGAGATTTCAGGCATAGGTTGAGGGGTACTTGAGTATTTTCCCTAAAGTATTTAACATTACAGAAGCAAGTTTATATAATTATATACTAAAGTCCCCAGAAACATCTAAAATATCTAACAACGAATTGTGAATTGAATTCTGAGAACCCAAAAGTCAATGTATTAAAAATTTTAAAAGATCCATAAGTCTAAACAAGAAATGTTACACCACAAACTAATGAACTCACAACTAACTAGAAAGTTCAAGTCTGAAATATGGAAAAAGTCAAAAAGAGAACTCATGGCGACCTGAAATAACTCTCACCCTTGAATTCAATAAATAATCTCTCATTTTCTAAATAGATCTATCATAGCTCCATGAAGATGTCATCTACTCAACAAAGAAAGAGTTAGCGCAGTAATAGTACACAACGACATTGTACTGGTAGGATCACGCGGCTATCCAGTAAGTGCAACATGTAAGTCAATACAACATAATAACAACATGAATACCCCAAACATATACAATATCATCATCATTTACAACAACATACAATTTCACATTTCTTAAGATACACATATATGTCAAGTCAATGGCCCTCTCATGGAACCAAACTCATACTATTAGAATACCGAAAAGTGGTACCCGATCTAATCTTTATGCCAGAACGTGACACCTGATCCCATATTTATGTCGGAATATTGCAACCTATCCAAGTTAGCATGTCAAAATGCAATACCTGATCCATTCAAAAAGCCACAACCAAATCACAATTATATTCTCAAGATCATACAATTAAGTCAGGATTAATGGCATTCATCATTCATCTATCTCATTTACGAAAATTGTGGTTAATAATGCAACATTTGCATAAATACACATATTAAAATGAAGCAAGAATAAACATATATCAAATGATTAAATGAAAACCGTCACCTACCTTGAACAGAGATCCAATCCCCTAAGAAACTTGATTCTTCCCACTTGATGTTTGTTCTTGGTGTATAAACGATCAATATAACATTGGAATCAGTAAACAATAACTAATTACCAGAATTACTCCCAATTCAATTAACCCTGGATCATACCCATGATCCAGATACCCATATTAGCGCTTTCTTTACCATAAAAAAATAAATATAAAAAAATTATAAAAAAAATTACATCATAACCTTTCACGTTGATCATTATCCATTAGATTGCTTTCTAAGGATCAAATAGATTTGGGGAGTGAAAACCTTACTTTTAATCTCAAGAATGGTGGAAAAATGTCGAGAAAATACTTGGATTTGTTCCTATATGGTGGCCCCCAGCCCGCCACAATGGCCTCGCCCTGGTAAGAATAATTGTGCCACACTCAACAACTACCCGTTCATGCTAAAATATTTTTGAGAGTTCTACTTGCCTAGATTAAATTTCGTAAAGTTATGCGGGTTTCTTAACATCTTCCCTATCTACTCATGCAATCAAATACATAATTAGATCATCAATTGTTACCATATTTTCCTATAATTTAATGACTCAAATTTCGTCCAAATATTGACTAGGTTGGAAATTATCAAGTTACTACGAAAAAGTTTTCTGACCCAAATTTTTTCACCGTTGGCTTTTTTATAATGATTGAACCCGGTGGTTAAAAAACCCAAACTAATTAAACTGATGAAATTCATCCGATATCAGGATCTCTGGAGGTTGACTAAGGTCAACAAATTCATGTCATTAGCCTCCAAAAGGGTAAAACTCACACCAAACTCTCCCAACCACCTTGAAAAGTGTGCCACTTATTCAACCACAGCACTCACACCAAACTCTCCCAACCACCTTGAAAAGTGTGCCACTCATCCAACAACAACACAAAAACGTATACGGAATTTACGGAAAGTGATAACAATAAAAGCATGAAAAAATACAACGGTTACATATATATTAAATGATTAATGATTATTTAACATAAATATAAGAAATAAAATATCATTAAGAATAATCAATGAGTTAAAGTATATTTTTAATATCTCCTAGCCCGGACACATTATAAATATAGGTGAATAAATGGGTTTTTCATCAAAACGAAAATCACAACATTGTTTTCATCAGTAAAAGATGATTTTTTATTTGTCAAAGAGATACAAAGAATTTTTGGTTTGATCCTGAATAAAACATATTTTCATTAACAGGTATAGTCGATGTATTTCATTTTTTGATAATATCAAAGCCTGGATTTTCTACTTTATTTTATTATTGTAATTTTTAGTTTTAGATTTTCTTTACACATAAGATATTCATCTTCAAATCTAAGATATTTGAAAAGATCAGTTCTCATCATCAAAAATTTAAAAAGATAAAATATTTCATTAATGTGAATTGAAGAGAGTTTGAAAGGGTAGTAAAGACCCTGTTCATAGTTTAGGTTAAAAGAATTTACCCAATTTGATAGGTTTTCTAGGTTGAATTGTAGGAATATATAAAATGTTGAATGTTTCACTTTGTGGAAATTTTACATAGTTTGATATATTTAACTATGTTCCAAATCTTACTGAAATAAATAATTTTGTGGAAGAAACTATGTTTTAACACCTATATGGTAATAAATAAATATTATATTTGTTTCATTTTTCTCATTTTAGAAATGTATGGAAGGAGACGGCGAAAAAATCGAAGCAGTACAATTGTGAGTGGTACTAACAATCAAGAAAGAAAACAACATAGAAGACTTCGTCGACGAAGGACAATAACTAGTGACGATATTGATGGTGATTCCGGAATCATTAGAAATGTTGTTCCAAGATCTATTCAAAATACCTTACGGGATCAAAGAGCTTGGATAAGGGAAGGGAGAAGAAAATATGAGGAGTTTAAACATATCAAAATGGACCCATCTTCTTCCATACCAGAATATATTGATTTATTTAAGACTAAACGAGAAGAGTTGACTTCCCATTTTATATGGGTCTTGGATCTAGAAGCTTTATTCATATTTATTTTTTCGCTTCCAGATCATTGGATGACATTAATGATTAGCATTTATACCTGTCTTGGTCCAAATAAGGATTTTTTGGCATATATGTATAAACTAAAAGTCAAGTGGAAGCAAAAAAAGTATCTTGAAGCTAATATAAAGAGACATTGGCTTCTAAGGACCTGTCCTAGGCCTTATTTTTATCAATATTCTCCTATAGACAATCTAGCTAAGATTTTGGCTGATAGTGTAATAAATCCTCATCACCTACGTAATGAGAAAGATGATATGTAATGTAGACTAGTGATCATATGACTTGTGATATTTTGAATATTTTTTTTAATGAAAATGTGTTCTTTGTCTATGTGTTTAATTTTTGTGATATTTAAATGCAATTAATAATATGGATTAAGACTTAATTAAAAACCTTTAATATACCACATACTAAGAAATAACTTGAATTTTTGAATAGTCAATCAATATGCAAATAATGATAGAAAACATTAAGACCCTCAATTCTATATGAAAAGTATAGTCATTATGAAATTTGATTTTCCAGGGTTAGGTGAACCAATTTGTTTCCCTAAACACCTAGTAATAGGAATACATGGTAGATACAACAAATAATTGGAAATAAAACATAAAACATTAAGGGAACAGTGGAAGATAAGACCATAAACACTATACATTCATATATATCAAATGATATCCCACCCATACCCTAGTAGTCACATGTACAGACCTACTACGAAAGAGCACAAGTCGCAGAAGTGAACAAAAAATATATAGAATCGTCTCAAAATCAAAACACTAGGAAAAACTAAAGAGGATGAGTTAGGCATGGTCCATAAAGCCATAAGATAACCCTCTCTCTAAAGGTACCCGTTGCGAGCTCGATATCAATGCAGACAATTAGTACTCAGACCAGCACTAGGAAAGCAGGTGTGAAATTCAATATGATTACCAAACAAACAGGAATAGGATTTATAGGCCAACTAAACTTCGGAAGAAAAAGCAATAATGAAATGTGGAATACGAAGCGACTAAAATCCATGGAAAGAAAATAGTAACAAAAATCCTAAATAGGAAGAAAACGATCTATTGAACGAACGAACAATAAAATAAATAACTATGTAAAACCTAAATCGACTCCATAAGACAACAAGGTGAACACTTATTCAATTAAACGTAAAAAAATCCAAACAAACCCCTATAATCCCAATGGATATAAAAAGATCTATGGAATTACTAGAAGAAGTTGAGAACATATCTAGAACTCTCACGTCCTACTAAGGACTTTGACAGCGATAAAGGCATCCCAAGAACCCTAAATAGAAATTCCCAGTTCGAACTCAAACTAATTGAGAAGGGTGTGTCTGGACTAGAAATCGGGGTAAAATATGAATCAGGACATCAAACCACGACTCTATATATGCGTAGCCATGAACCCAAATAAATAGTAGGTAAGCCAAGGACTTTAAGTTGTCTAACAAGTAAGTGCACAAGGTCCTTAAACCCATTATATCAAGAAGCACATGGACCTTGAACCATAAAAAAGTACTCCAAAATCCCTAATTTTCTTTTGCTATCCTAAAACAGGACTACGCCGCAACGGTGAACCTCCTTTAGAATTGATAGATACACACTCCAACTCTAAGACTTGATACCAAATAGTTGGATAAAGACTAAGTAGACCCAAAAATACGCCCGAGTTCACCACAAGGTTAAATTATGGATAAACATTTCATAAGAGTTGAATATCTGCAAGGAGCTAAGCAATCCAAAGTGACGTTAGAGAAATTGTAAGGTTTCATCACTAGAACTTGAGCCTAGGGAAATCGCAGCATAAACCTAGTCTAAGGCTATTAAAAACCTATTTAAGATTTTTTAAAAATGAACTACATATAGACAACCACAAGTAGGAATGATTACTTACAAGATCAACATATAAGAAATCTTGGAACTTAGAAATATAACCTAAATAATGATTTCAGACACAATTGTTATGATAAACTACAATCCAACTCCAATTGTAGCAAGTCAAAATGAATTTACAATCGTAAGATAAATTAATAACCGGAAGTCATAGCCTACAACATTGCAAACTATGTGTTCTCCAAAATTATGAGTTTTCCCTTTTTAATATCCTTCAATCGATGATACACTATCAAAAACAAAATCACTATATCAAAATGAAGGTTTTGATACATAATATCCAACATTTGGGGATGGACCCAAAATTAAAAAAATGTCAAAATTGGAACTTGTACTGTGAATCCAGGAATTGAGTCTCTCAAAAGGCTCAATTCAACTCACTGAGATTGTATTACAAAATGGGACAACATTAATTGTTGAAAGGAATCAAACTACAACATGCAACAATTCACGAAGTAAAACACCATTAAATAACTAGACAGTCTAACTCGGAAGAAAATTTACACCCACTCAATGTCCCCATGCAAATGTGTGAGCACTCCGATTAGAAGACCTGCTAATTTCGAACCTACAACACTTGAAATCACCTAAAATGGAGGTATAAGGATCTCTAAAATTGACTTTGAACCTTACAAATAGAAGTTGATCATGCATGGAGCTAGGCTTGTAAATGTGGAGGTTTAAGCTCCATAACTTTCACAAATGTAGCCTAGGGACAGTGATTGCGAAAACTAAACCCCCAACCTCCGTGAACGTAGAGTTCAGGTCCATTAGCCACTGGAATGTGGCTTGTAATGCATGAACTTGAAGAGAAAAAGTGTCTCTACCATCTTGTAACAATTTGTATT